ATGGAATACAATTCTTTTCTATATTCCCAAGTGAAGAGTAGAAATGAATCTGCACCAGTGAGATGAATGAGTCAGAAATTATAAAAGTAACTAAACTTACCTATAGGGTTGATCTCAAGGTAGGTGAAGTAGAGGTCCTCATATAAGTTAAAGAGGCCAACTATAAAACTAGCCAAGACTCTTTAGGAAAGAAGAAAAAAAAACAGGCAGTTTATTAAAATCAGTAAACCGAAGTAAAAAATAAATAAAATGTGTACAAACCAGTGCTTGCTTGCACTACATAAAATGAAGCCAACTTTTGTTGATGCAAAACAAATATCCAGTCTGATAACAGAAGATCACAATTAGCTACCAAGAGGGGAGCTTGTGAGGAACTAGTCAAACAGAAATGTTATGCATCATAAAAAAAGATCAGCATGTTCTCTGCAGCCTCGGGACGTTATTTGTAAAAGAACAAAAAACAAAGATCTAAAAAACACACTGCTGAAGGTCACCGCAAAACAGCAAAAGACCTTCAAACTACACCGAAGAGGGAAAGGCTCTTCGCTGGCATAAACATATATTGGTAATGAATTAAATCCACTAAAACCAGGTTTGCGTGATATGTGGGATGACGGCTATATAAAATATGGTTGCTCAACACAACAACAACTGTCTAAACGCAGGAGGCGGAGCACATCTTATCGAAGTCTCTCTGGGGTTTATTAAAGAGAACTTTACTGCTGTAGATGAAAACAAACGCGTAATAACAAAGGATGTGTCCGTACTTTTTCTTCTCATCTGGAACGTGTGGGAGGAGCTTCTCCGTGACTTGCTCCTCGCTCAGCTTCTCGTCCACCGCAACCAACAGCCTCTGAGCCTTGGCGTCCACGTCACCCACCTCCACGCCTCCCTCGTGGTGGAAAAGCACATGGTCGCCTTCTCGTGTGGCATAAATACACACATAGAACTCCTCCTCCTGGGGGACGCGAACACAAGGATACGCGTTAACACGTTTAGTCTGCGAACAGCGGCGCTCGGGTTCTCGCTTATTTATAGAACGTCAAGGAACACCCAGTTTTCTCAAGAAAGCCGACCTTCATAAACACACACAGCTTAACTCAATGGAACCGAGTCAAGCAAATGAAAAGCACATGCACGGTGACCTAATTTCAAGGCTGACGAGAGCAGCCGACATTACCTGTGGGTGTGGAACAAACGGCTCGATGAGGAAGTTCTTCAGCACACCCTTTGCCTTTCCAACCTATTCAAGACCAAACACAAAGCACAAGCACGTTAGTCCAACCTGGTTATAGACCTGGAAGTGAAGCGTGTCATGTCAACCTAAATAATGTTTAGGTTTCCTTAAATTTACATTAAAGATATATATATATATATATCTCTGAAGAGTAATATTCCTGTGTAGGTTGGCATGGATGGATTGGAAATTCCCTCAGTCAGTAGGTGGCTTTATGGCAAAAGCACACATCGTGTTTGTATACGGTGGACAAGAATAGACCACCCTCCTCCTCTGGCACCATATAACCTTTGACCTGGCAGATCTAAACATAAGCCACATGGCCTCTAGCACGGGACACAACAACCTTTCTGCTCAGAACTGGTCCATATGCTCGGGCTAATGGACACGGAAACTTCCACTCCTCAGATGTCGTACAAAGGACAATGTGGCAGATGTATGGTTCACTACGTGGCAATGAGATAGCATTGTTATCTACATTTAATTATAAGTAGAATCCCAGTGAGGAGCGGCGGTCGTGTGCTAAGCAACAAAAGGCCAAAATTAGGTAGAAAATAAAGTTCGGTGAGCTGGTACACCAGCAGAGAGAGGGGTGTTTTTTTTTAATTATCAGAGCAGATTCCAAGCTAATTAAATGTGTAATTTTGAATGGGGGACACAGACACAGACTTGTTGGTCCTTGACAAACGAGTGACTGCTCTTTGCCTCCATGATCTTACGATCTTACGTGCATTGTCTTAAGGCAAGACAGGGCTGCTTTTTATCCAACATTACAGGAGCGATTACTCACGGTGGTCTCTCTCATGACGTGGGCTTTAAACCACTCTCTGACACCCTGCAGGTCCAAGTTGATGCCGACCAGACCGAGCTTCCCGCGCCGTTTGATCAGTTGATCTGGCTTTATCACCAGCCGCTACAGGGGGGAGCGAGTGGAAGACGGATCAGACCAATGTTAAAACAAATACCACAGATTTGCATCAATACTACGGACACCAGGCTGAAGTAGGATACTGGTTACATTTCCCCATTAACCAAACACACACAGACACGGCGAGAAATACGCTCAGACACATGCTACTGTGATGCTAATGACTTAATGTCCTGCAAAATCAGTCCTGTGCACCTGTTTTTTTCCCCCAGGTATAGACGGCAGGTAATAAGCCACATGAATTCAACATCCCCGAAAGCCACCCGGAGCTCAAGAGCGGCTCCGTCACAGCTGCCTCACCTCCGTCAGCAGCCATGGATGCTCCTGCGTGAGCCGGCCCCAGTCGGTCCCGGCGGTGACGCTGGCGTAGCGGAAGCGGTTCTGCACGGCAGCTGAGGTGCAGATGTGCTTGTACAAGAACTCTTTTCCCGTCTGCTCTGAGATGGCTTTTGCCGACATGGCAGCGCCAGAGAGCACAGGACCTTTTAGGGAGGGGAGCCAACTCAAGAGTTAAAACATCATCCCACGTTTGGGTTAATTGGATGAAGACAAAACAACTTGTGGCTGGATTTTTAGCAGCAAGGATCTTCTCGACCTACACAGGAATATTACTCTTCATTGCATATGTGTTTAAAAAAAACGTTAAAGCCCTTTAATCAATAACCAGAATTCCAGAAGAACGCAGTAATGTAGGATTTACTTGTTTGGGAATGTCACAACAACTTTTGTACTTTATTTACAGGAATGAGGGCCGAGCGGATTCTAAAAACACAAAGATGCACCGTTGGTCCCGTTTCAAACACCGCCGCACGTCTTGCCAAACCGGCTCGGGCCACCACAAAGCACACCTCGGGTACCCGGGTTGTGTGAAACAGCCCCAACAGGTCCACGAACCACCTTCACCACACGCGCCGCAGGCAAAGCTAGACAGATAAGCAGCGAAGGAGCCTTGAAGACGTGCGTCCTATCTCATCTGCCTTTGTGTAAACGATAACACTTTATGGTGGCTTCTTGCTGCAGCTTCTGTAATACTCGGGTTACGAGCCGGCTGTGGCCTCATGGGAACAGTTTTTGGCATCAGCTACTTCCAACACAGTGAGTCCAGTCTGTAAGAGGTCTGTGATGTGTGGCCCTAAGGGGGGTGGGGGGTATCCGGTCATACTTTCAGAGCCAGATGCCCCAGTATTTAGCCAGCCATAATCCATGGGCCGTCCCCATTGTTTGAAGCCATCTAGCCGTAAAATATGTGTCGCTGTACATGAAGTGGGAAACCGGATCAGGAGGTAGCAGCATCACAGGGAGGGGGGGGCACTGCTTCACACACAGTTGTTGCTGCTGCTCGAGAAGCCTGGTCGAACTTAGCATATCTTCTTTTTTGTTGTTGTTGTGCAAACTTCCGCCGTTGTGAGTTAGGGCCAAGCCGAGTGAATGGAGCTCCAGTGCCGACCACCACACCCACCCTCGCTGGCCGAGCAGGTTCAATAATTACTTTAGCGTGGCTCACAGCCACTAGTGAGGAGGCGGGGTGCACGGATGCTAGTTAGGTGGGGCAAAGGAGAGAGATGCGACTGGAAATAATAACGCTGCCACCGCGAGGTCTCAAATAGCTGAAATTATGTAAGTGAAAAAACAAGCTGCGTTCCCTGTTCAATGTATTATTACCTCCATCTAAAGAAAAGCGGGATAAGAAACTCCGCGAGAGTGACAGTCACTGCAGCCTCACAGCAGCGGCTAACCTGGTCCTGTCCGGCTAACGAGCCGTAGCCTCGCGGTGGTGCGAGCAGCCGTTTGCTAGCGGGTAACCGGGGGAGAAGCTAGCACGGGTTGGGAGTTTTAAAAACAACATCATTTAGCGTAAAATTGTTACCTCGTGGAGGAAAGTCGCACCGCCTCGAAAGGTAAACGGGATCGCGTCTCGGTTAAAAAGGCGACGCAGCTGAAGAGTCACGACTCGTTCTGGTACCGGGTTCTGCCGCTGTCAGTTGCCACCTCACTCGCACCCCGTCGTCGCACCATAATCTGGCGACCGATTACGCGTCGCTGCCGCCGCCTGATTGGCTAGAACGAGGTCACGTGGGGCCGCCGGTCACGCCCACAGCTTTTTAACGACCGTCCCCCGAAAATAAATCGGCAGAAAAAACTGCTACACTATAAATAAATTAAAAAATATTTTTTGAAATTATTATTTTTAATTAACCTTTTTTTTGCATCATAATTGCTATAAAATAAGTATTTTGAAGATGTCCGGATGTCAATTGAATTATCATTTGAATCATTTCCCCAAACAAGTCTTTAAAAGTCAGATATATTTAGGCTAAGCACGTCATCCATTTCTGACTTTTAATAGGACTTTGTATATTCATTCTCTATTTTGTTGTAATGACCAAACCCTGAAGAACTCCTTGAAGGAGACGTATTATGCACATTTCAGGTTCACACTTGTATTTTGGGTTCCTACAATAACATGTTTACACACATACATGCTTTAATGCCATTTCAATTTTTTTTAATTGCCCTCCTGGGCCACACCTTTATTTTTACTGCCCAACAGATGACGGCTTTAATGTACATTAAAAACAGTCACACATTTAGTATGTATAGGCTGGAAATTAAAAATGGTCTATATTATTGTATGGCTGAGAAATTATGACCGTAGTGAAATCCACAGGGATCATTTAAAGTCTGAAGACTGGGTGCATTTCTCCGTGGATTGAGTACTAAGAAGTGTTTAGTTAAAAAAAAAAAAATACTTTTTAGAATATTATACCATAATAATAATAATAATAATAAGTAAAAGCAATATTAAAATACTCAATTATAATAAAAGTCCCAAGATTACAGTAAAAGACAAGCCTTTATTTTTGCAATAAGAAAAACGTATCATTAATACTGTGACAAGTTTTAAAAATGATCGGTGAGAGAACAATTTACAATAGAAGCTTCCAAAGTACTACCAGTGCCCCTTTAAAACAGGTGGAACAAGTAAGGGAAGGGCCGTACTGACCAAACGTGCAGGACAGGTATGGATGGATGACACCTAGGTGTGCTTGACGATGACATGGACAGAAGTCTTTTGTAATTGACGAGATCAAGAATTCACTTACAAAGTTGCATTTCAGTCACTGGGCAGATATGAAATAAGTCATGTGTGAGTGCATCAAAAAACTAAAACTTACAAGTTTAGCTGTTGGCTTTTGAAACAGGGATATTGTCTTGAAACTTTTATTTTGGTTTTACTGAAAGAAGGTTGTATCATTCTGATAAGGCACCACTTGTATTTGACTGGGACAGCAGGACAGATGTTTGGCGGGTGCTTTTAAGAGAAGAAAATCTGTAGTTTTTATGTGTGCTGATTTTAGGCTGTTTCAGAACAAATATATACATTACACAGTCCGAGAACAAAAAGAATGACGTGGAAAACAAAACAAAAATTTAGTTAGTCTTTTAAGAGGAGGAAGACAATGAGCACCGGCATTCTGCTGTATACAGGTTAGAATACACAGTACAATAAATATAAAGACCGAGGGAAGACTGAAGGAGAAAACTATTTATGGACACAAAACACTTTACATTCGAGTCAAATATACAATGCAGCATGGAGAAAAAACGAAAAACCTGCACATCGATTCTACACGTGGCAAACGAGCCAATAAAACCTGAACACACTCGCAAGAGACCAGCGTTGTCCTAAACAGGCTGTCCTGAGGTCAGTTTTGACATTGAACTTCCACAGTACATTGACTCTTGCTCTACGGAGACCGGCTGTCCCGGGAGAACCATAAAAACTGATGCCATGTAATGTCTTCTAAAACTAATCAACCAAGATGCTTTAACTTCCAATGCATTTTTTACTACCGGTCACCTTCATGAAGGTTGAGACAGTTTTACAAGATTTCTATATTTAATATCATTTTAGAGTTTGGCAACAAAGACATGCTCTTATCAGCTGATCCAAATCTCTTAAAAGGGACTTCTTAAGCACTTTTTTTATTTACAACAATGATTTCTAACTTAAGTCTCTGTATTACTCTCCTCTGTTTCTGAGAAAATTTACGAGTGAATGCAATAATCAAAAAACTCTTGGGGGGGAAAAAAAACCCGGTGGGGATGTTTTGTGAGACACTCAGGAGTGTGAGCATCAGGAGGTGACTGTGGGTCCAACTTTATTTTTCCCACTGCAGTGTGCATTCTCCCGCCTGCTCCTTCACTTTAGCCGAATTGAAAAAAGAAATTCCCAGGTCCAGAGTCTTGAGATGGGGACAGAAAGATGCAAGTTAAGATCAAACTTTTACTGATCAATTTCCTGTTCGTCAATAAACAAAACAAAGTCTGAACTGGATGTCTAAATACCTGGACTGGAATCAAAACTAAATCCTCCTCCACCTCCTCCTCCTCCTCCACCACCACCACCACCACCATGGCCGCCAAAGAAAGCCCTGAAGATGTTGTTTGCATCGAAATCTAGAGAGAAAAAAAATGCAAATATGTTTGGATTAGCTGGTCAAGAAGAGCGTCAGGAGGAACGAGACAGCAGACAAAGCCACCGGACATACTGCACACGCATTTCTGACTTTGGGCGACTTCGGTGTCGTGTTTGATACCCAAAAGCACAATAAGTATCGATGTTTCTGTTCTCATTAGGTCGAGTTCCTTCATGAGGAACTTGAGGAAAATTTATGGAGCTGAATCTCCACCATAACTGGAAACATACAGATGAGAAATATTTTAAAAAGTCATGATATTTAATATACAGTATAGTGGCTCATTTTATTTCACTATCTTACACCTTGTTTACAATTAACTAGATTGTTAATTAGATAGCAGTTAAGTTTATTGTGCATCGGTACAAACAATACCACGGCGCTGGAGCTACAAGCTAGTACTCTACCTCCGCCATCAAAGGAGTTTTCCTCCTCCAGGTCGTGTCCACTGTCGTAGCGCATCTTCTTCTTTGGGTCGGAGAGCACAGTGAAGGCCTCGCCCACCTCCTTGAATTTCTTTTCCTCCTCTTTCTGCACATCCGCAGTTGCTGCACTGTGCCGGTCTGCAAAAACATAAAACAACTCAGAAAAAGGAACCTCGAGTTGTAATAAAAGTCGGTTTGTCTGCCCTCGGACCGCCGGGTCTACCTGGGTGATGCATGAGGGCCCGTTTGCGGTACGCTTTCTTGATCTCGTCCTCGGTGGCGTTCTTGCCGATTCCCAGCACCTTGTAGTAATCTTTCCTTTTGCTCTTCTTCAGCTCCAGCTGTGCGTTCTTTAGCAGATGCTTGTGTTCTGTAAGGAATCAAACGGGAGTATGGGAGCAACCGACCAGCTGGAGTGTTAAAAGCAAGAGAAAAGAACAAAAAAGAAAAAAACAACACAACAGAAGAACAAAAAGACAGCTTACCTGATGTTTTTTCCGTCTGGTAAACCTTTTCATAATCCCGCACAGCTTCCTCGTACTGCTCTGTGTTCATGTAACTACGGGACAGACAAAGTCACTCTGAAACAGCTCAATGCTGAACACACGGATCAGGAGAATTGAACCCATATTGACTGCGGAGCATACCACTGAGCTCTTCTTAAGTAGGCCTTGATGTAAGTGTCGTCTAGTTTGATTGCACTGGTGCAGTCGTCAATGGCTTCATTCAGCTTCTTCAGCTGTGGATGAGCAAGACGTCAGTGACACTGAACCGAACACAAAGCACAGAAAAGCACACGGACTACGCATGACGGCCATTACGAGACAGACAGACAGCACGGCTCATCACAGCTGACGGCTACCGCGCGTCTCCGTTTACCTTGGCGCCTGCTGTGGCTCGGTTGCAGTAGAGCTTAGCGTTGGTCTTGATGTTGTTGGGGTCTATCGTCAGGGCCTCCGTGTACAGCTGGTAGGCGGCTTGATAGCTGCAGCTCTTAAATGCCTGGTTGCCCTCGTCTTTCTTGGCTTTCAAGGCTTTGGCGTTCTGATTTAGGAAGAGAACACGACGGTAACATTTAGACACTCACAATGTAGGCACTGACAAAGATCCTCTGTATCTCAGCCCGTCTCCGCGTGCCGGCTGTGTTTAGCTACATTGTTATGCCATTTTAAAAACGGTTTGTTTTATCCCAACACGGTTTGCCTGATCCAACTTGCCAGCAGGCTTCGGTACAATCTTGCTCATATTGTGTTTGGCTTTGTGATTTCTATCATGCGGTGAGAGATGAGCCTTTGCAAGGCGCAAACATATTTAAAAACAACAACCAAATATGAGTTTTAACATCAACACGTGCCAAAATAAGCCAAACACGTTGGGTTATTTTGTTTTTTTGTACTCATTTGTCTTACATAAGAAATACTGGTTATTACCAATCCTGATATTTACTTATTTCTATCTGTACATTTCTTCTTTTGATTAAACAAGAAAGGAGAAGACTATGTCATCCTCTTACCCTGCAGGCCAGCCGGGCCTTTTCGTGATCCGGTGCCATGCGCAGAGCCTGGACAAAGAACTGAACGGCTTTGTCGATACAGTCCTCGTAGTAGAGACACAGGCCTCGCACGTAGAGTGCGTCTGCGTTTGTGGAATCCATTCGCAAGATATCACTGTGAGAGAAAGTTTTATTAGAATCACATCGCTCCTTCTTATGGCGGATTCTGTACTCGTTTAAAATAAAATAAGTAATTCCAGAACTGGAAGCAAACTGTCACACTCTGTGGACCTACCACCTACCTTGCTACGGACTGGGCTTCTGGATAGCGGCCCAGCAGAGCCAGACACTCGGCCTTGATGATTTTGAAGCGGTGGCAGGCGGAAGCCAGAGCTAAAGCCCGGTCCATGCAGAACACCACCTGGATCACAACGACAGCCACGTCACTAAGCCGGTTACACTCCAGCGTCAAATTCATTCATGAAATAAATTCAGATATTTGGAGCTTTGTTAAAGCTAAATATTTATTCCTTATAGAATTCTTTTTATTTTCATTCATTGTAAAACCTTTTAACTCCCAGCCAAATAATCTGTTCAAAGTGTAAACACAAGTATGTAAATAGGATGCAAACTTCTAGAATTGTTGTTTAAAATCTCTCAAATTGTGGTTAGCTCTGGTATTTTTTACAAACTGAAGGATATTCTAAAACATTTTCACATGACAACAAAGATGGAGCTGTTGAGATGGAGTTGTTTGAGAGATTGGTGAAAACAGAGAAGGGGTGTAAAGTACCGTTCTGAAGTCCCGCTTTTCAAAGCCAACGTCTGCCATCCTTTGGTACTCCAGGAGAGTTTCTGCACTCTTATTCTAAAATAAAAAAACAATTATCAACTCTTTGAAATGTTAACAGCTCGAGTTGCAGGTTTCAGACTTTGGCTCCACTATCGTGCCTGGTATGTAATTGAATGCAGTCTTAAACGGATATTAAATAAATTGGGAAAAAGTTCAGGTGATGCACACCTCCTGCTGGGCCTCTTTGTTGCTGGGCTCCAGCTCCAAGACCTTCTTGAAGCAGCGATTAGCTGCCATGGCATTTCCCAGCGACAAGTGGCATTTGCCCTCGCGTAGATGACCCTGTGGGACACGGGGAGGACATTTCCTTCTTAGGACTAAATGGGTGGCAAATAGTAATGAGAAAAAGGATGCCAAACCGACCTTCATGAAACAGTCATCCAGCCGCACGGCCTGCTGGGAATCTTCGAGGGCCTCTCGAAAGCGGAAGAGCATCATTAGGGTGGCTGCCCTGTTGCCATAATAACTGGCAGTTCTGGGGCTTGCATCTTGAGATAAAAGAAAGAAAACCCATGTGATACAGGCAAACAGATGCGGGTACAGACTGCAGTCAGCGTGGTTACATGGATTCGAATAACTGGCTTAGTCGGACTGAAATCGAATTATCCGTTTCATGTAAACACCTTTGTCGACTATGTGCGGTCCGACTACGATCCGACCAACACCCCTGGATAACTCCATCCGATCCAGTTGATAGTTCGACTATTGCGGCATGTAACGGTGAATCGGATAAGGAACTGGACTTTGCGTCTTTGCGCATGCTTGAGATCCCGACGGCGTCCTCTCTCCGTTATCAAATCAGCCAATAGCGCCATTCGCATTCGCTGTGCTCCTATTAACGTCATGCACACACAGTAGAGGGATGTAGCTTCACCTTGCTCTCCGTTCGCCATCTTTCTCGTAATGTTGATGTTGATGTTGTTGGTTGTTGTTGGTAGTGGTGAAGCGGTCAAGCGGAAATGGCTGTATCACAACTAGTTGTAATGAAAACCGCGCCACCTATCGTATCGGATATGACATGCTTTCGGCCAATGATTCGATTTATTCACTGCCATGTATATTGGCATAATAGCACTTGCCAAAGCAAAGATTCGAATTATACCATCATGTAAACACACTGACTGATAGAAACGACCTAATTAAAGATTGAGGAAGCATGCTGTGACTCATTGTTAATAGAAAACGCCATGCTCCTTTTTTCATGCATCTCATGAGCGGCCATGAAAGGCGTGACTAGAGGAGACTATTGGCATTTCTCAACCGGGAGTGCACATAGATTAGACAACGGTGGAAGAGTAAGTAGCTGTGATCTCACCTATGGCCTTCGTGTAGTAGTTGAAAGCCTCAGAGTAATCTTTCTGGCTGTAGAATGCATTTCCTTGCTCTTTGAACCCTTCCGCCTGACTGCAGCGAGAAAAAACAGAAAACAACGTCATAGAGGAACACATGCTTTACCAAGACCACAGTAATAAGATATGAAATTTAAAAAAAAAAAAGTATGCAACACATCGGTCAACTAATTAAAGCCCTCCATGCGCCAAGAGGTACAGAATATGACTGCTTCAATCAAGAGACCTTCTTACAAGCCTGAACGCGACTGCCCTCTGTTACACGTGGAACTGGGACAGCAGAGCAGGGCACGCGCCGTCGTCATAATACTTGGAGTTCTAATACTTGAAAGCGTTGGAAGGTAAATGAACGCTGGATGGCATGAGGCAGCTGCTGAGATGCTCGCTGTGCATTGAAGCGTTTGAAAGTGATGCTCTCAGGGCCACACCGGTCAGTGACATCATTTTCCATCAGTCAAATAAAAAAAAATAAAACACTGAGGTTGTGTGCAGAAGTAAATTTCAGCTTTAGGCAGAAGTGCGGCAAAAATATTTCCTTCAGTGCTGGAATATTTTAGTTAGGCCGCACAACGGCTTCAAGGATTAGCTTTGTAAGAAATCTATAGGAAAGTGAGTATTCTTTTTGAAATGTTCAATACAAATTCAAAAATTGGCGTGATTCACAAAAGAATTCCAGGCAGAGGAATTTTTAAAAGTGTAGGATATAAGGGAATATGTTAGCAGACATGGACTGTGTAACTATTAGTACGTAATCGACTGAAACTTCTTTTGAAAAAAAGTTGAGACTAGAATTCTAAACTTTGAATCGGCCTCCCAACATGTTACAGAAGAACGTGTATTTTTATAGTGTACATCACTCTTCATCTACAAGTACAGAACAAACAAGACATTACTATTACAAGCCTAACATATCATCGTCATTGATCCTTTAGAAATATTTACATTTTCTTTTATCAATTTAAATGAAAACAGCTCTCTGGTTTATGCATGTATGTATATATGTGTGTATATATATATATATATATATATATATATATATACATGTGTATATATATATATATATACACACACATATAAAAAAAATATATATAAAAAATAATAATATGTCCCCTCTATTTCAGGATTGCCAAAATATTATCTCAATTTTATAAAAAATAGTCCAATAATGTCACCAAACTTCTCATTATTCCAGGCCACAACTTTGGTTACAAACGCTGACTTAAAAGTTAAATTTTGATCATCAAACCAACGTCAAATCAACATTTTGTATGCCAAAGTGTGACACTCATGTTTAAAATAACCAAGAACATTTGAGGTGTTTTGGGAAGTTAAACAAGAAAACTATAGATAACGATAATTACTAATCGGATGGGTTGAGCACATATTATAAAGTTAAGTTACCTCGTTCAGACTCTTAAAGAACTTTCTAGAAAGCGGAAACCATAAATAGTAAATATCCACCAAACGACTGCACCAACGCTTTAATCGTCGCGTTTATATTTGAAATGTTTACGTAGAAACATGTTGATTGACCAAGAACTCAAAATACAAGAGCTTGTTTGAAGACGCTAGCTGTAAATTAGCTGAGCGTGTCTGGACACCGCGGTCAAGACACGCTTTTAGCTAACGTTCGCTTATCTTCACGAACACATTGTCAAGGTAAATTACTTTGAAGAACCCACAAATTTTGCGTTCTGACGTGAATCACTGAAACTCCAAGAACGCGAGTGGCTATTCTTTATACAAAATCTATGGGATAAAAGATTTAGCCAACTCTAAATGGGCCGTTTTTCCCCGAGAAGCTAGCCTGGTTAGCTTATCTGCGGGCTGATCGCGCCGTTATCCCGGAACCTTGTCAGCTAACGGCGGTTGAGTTCAGTCAGCGAATCCCGGTCTTTTTTCTCCTGTTATACCCACCCGAAAGAAACCCGACGGACTATTTCATGTTTACCGTTCCATGTCGTCCGGATTGCAGATTTGAGGCTCTGTGTCCACCGGCACGTCGATGTCAACAGCTGCCATTTTTTTCTAGAAAGGACGAACACGAACTGACGTCATTTCCGGGAACTAATCGGCGATGGCTTTTTTTCCTTCTTTTTTGAGGTCATGATAAACCAGAGCAGATACGTAAGGAAAATGTTGTATCTAAAATATAACATACATTTAAATATAACGTAACCAAGTTGTATGCAAACTATTGATATTGTATGCATTCAATTTGATGGTATTTTTTATTCAAACTTGCAAACATTGCAAAAATAAATATGACGAAAAATGTCACTGTTTTAAACCTCAACTGACCCAAACTCGTTTTTAAACAGTCGGAAAAACTTCTGCTTGCACAACGTTACAGAATCAGCTCTCCATCACGCAAACTTAACCTGATTTTGGGTTAGTATAATAAATTATACTAAAATGGCATTTAAATGTTTTCACAACCTTTATTATGCAAAGCATTTCAACTACTTAAATCCATATAATTTGGGTTTTATTATGTTAAAAATGTATGTCAGTGCGGGTAAAATCACCGGACAGGTTATCCTATCTGGCTTGTTGCTTACAAAATAATCACTAGATGGCGTCAGAGTATCACAAAGTACGGGCTGTGCTCAAGGTTATACATTACCAGTAACTTCATGCTTCGTGTTAGAATTTCTCTTAAACTATTTTTATTTTTGAGTCTGATGATATAAGAAGAGATTCATACTGAGGATGCAAGTTATTACGGAGTGCGGCCCTTGTTCAACGACCTCTCAGTGTCAATGTTCTAATATATTTCTTATCCGAACTAACCTTATATTCATAATTCAAATGAATGGGAAGGCACTCATATTTGCATATGAAGAAATACACACCACGGCCGTGTAAAAAAACATTACTATTTATAAGTTCATATAGAATACATTATTGACATTTTTAGCACATAATCATTTACATTATTGCAATTGATGCACACGTCATTAATTTTACCAGGTGGGACTTCAAAAACACATATTCCTTAGGATGATTCGGCTTAAGGGGAGGGGTTAGTGGAAGGGAATTTAATACAGCTTTATAGGAAAAATAACAGTTTTAATAAAGAAATCAAAGGTACATTTAAATATCTGTGAATAAATCATCTTGAGAATTAGCATTAGAAATCAGCCTGTATCTTCATATTGCACAAACAGCATCAAGCTGTAAATAGTAAATAACTTATTAATCCACATAAATCTTAAATCTCATTGTATACATCATATATGTAGCCTGTCTATATGGCGAGTATTCTTGGCATCATTTCAGAGTGTTGGTTGATTGTCACCTCATAAGACAGAGAGCAAGAGTGAAACACAACATGTAAAAAATCAAAGTATTGTCAAAAATAATCAGAATGCATCCACGTCAGACAACAACTGTAAAGATGTACACTTGTTGAGATTGAATATCCTCAGCAATCGGTAGTTGTGGATATTCCTACGCTTTTCCATTAGAGGAGGATGGTTGTATGGAAATACCCACTTTCACTCTGGATTTCCTTGACCTTAATTTTGTCAACAAACACATAACATTTACACACTCTAGTTTATTAGTATATTATTGTCCTATACATGAAACTATAAGATGCTTGTCATTATGGCTTTAAGAGGGGTCCAGACTCCGGGGAACATGCACTCAAAAGTTTGTTGAGATGGAACAGCTGAGCGATGGACCTTTCCTGGTCCGTCGGCACTGAAATCTCAAGCCACACCAGGAGATTGTGCTTACTTGTTCTCACGACTTGCATCTGCACAACTTAACATGCTGCCATCATGGCATAACAGTGTACTGGTGTCCCTCACGGTGTCCCGGGCTTTATCTTCAGATACCAAGCTAATCCTGCCCGCTCCAGATTTGGCTAGGTTGGCTCCGCTCTTCTGTACGTCCTCTGGGCCTGGCGTGGCTCATTGCTAGTAAGGAGAGAAGATAATAGGTCCATGTGTGGCCCTCAGAGGTCCCGGAGCAGGCCTGAAGAGCGTGGGGCTGATCAGGGGGCCGTGGATGAAGGCCGTTGGACCCGGCGGAAACCGTAGCGCCAAGGGTCCGGACGCCATGGTGCACAAAGCAGCTGGATTGAGGTGGTTGGTCAGGAACCCTGCCGGCAGGGCCTTGGACAGCTGCTTCTGCAAGGCCAGTTTAGTCTGAACGCAGGGACAAGAGACACATTCAGTCTGAGCAAGGCTAAGAGTCCAAAGCCATGCTAGTTAAGCTGAGAAAGGCTAACAGGCGGATGTTTAGCATGCATGTGTACCATGTACGCGTCCTAATTCAGCGTGAGAACATCTGCTAATTAGCGCTACAAATGAAGTTCAGCTAAGTCACATGAGAACGTCGTTAGTTGTGCTGGCATTGGGATTTGATCGTAAACCAAAGTATTAGACACTTTGACCTGAGGATGGCAATACAGAAAAAGTTTGATGTTGTGGGGCTTTTCACATAACAAACCGAGGCCCTTTGTTGTTACTTATTTGTAATAAACCACTGAGCAGCCATTGGACTTGCAAATAGGTTGACATGTGCATAGGCAGAGCTTACCATTTGCGTCTATTGAGAATCTGTATGTGTTGTTTATTTTCTCTCAAATGTTTCTGTAGGTGTGTGTGTCTGTGTGACTAATTCTCACCGCTAAGATTGCACTGGACTGTAGTTTATTATAGGGTGTGAACTTCGCCTTGACAGGCTTCCCAGCCAAACGTTCTTTGTGTCTCCTGCTGCTAATGTGCTAAAAGGGGAACAGGAATAGGAAGTGATTCATTCAGGACAGCTCTGACAGCCAACAAACCGGGTAGTTTAGTTTCCTTCAGAACGTGTTAAGTGTTAGGGATTCAACATTTCTAGATATTATACAACAGTTTAGTGAGTTAGTTCAATTAGTCATATTACAAATATTGGGATGAGCCCACGTACCTGCTTCAGCTGTGTATCTGAGTTGACTGACACCTGGCACAAGTCACAGTTAAACGGCTTGCTGGATACACCCACAACCGCTCTGGTCTTGTTGCTCATTCGCTGCCTAATTCGGCTGGTGGGCCTGGGCGATGATGTCATCTTGACCCTGCGTTGTAAGTGGCTGCTGCGGTGACCGTCAAGCATCTGTTTGTGCTTCGAGCCTGATTCAGAACAAACAAAAGGTAAGCGTCAAGAGTCGCAAGCGTACTAACTTTGACTAAGTAAAAGCGGAAGTGTTTTAGAACACACCACTACAGTGAGACTCCAACTGGGAGCTGGAATTGACGGTCACTTTGCACGTGGGACAGTGATGCGTTTTTTTGTCGCCCTTGGCCTCTTCAGCCTCTTGCCGCTTCACCGCCGCCGCTTTCTCGCCTCCCGCGGTGCTCTCCTGGGGGTCAGAGCGAGTGGCTGACCCGGGGGCCGGGCCGCACCCTGCCGCGGGCGGACCATCTGAAGGCGGACTGTCGAGCTGAGAGCCGGCGGGGACTTGAGGGGGGAGCTGAGGAGACCGCGGGGAGGAGGAGTCTGTGGGTGGCGCCTGCGAGGGCGCGGTAGGTGCCAGCAGGGTTCCCTGCAGGTTTTCTGGTTGGGATGAAGTACTCAGGTCTGTGGACGGATGAATAAAGAGAAGTTGCACGATGAGCCCATATGTTTAGCCATTGAAAATGGGTGTGCCGTCTAAAATATGAGCAAAATCACTGACGGCAGTCAATGCAGTTTTTTAATGTCACTTTATGGATGGATCTTCTTGACTGATGCGATCCTCCGTTCCGTCACCTGTCTTTTTGTGCAGACGACCTTTCCTTTTATTACTCGTTCTATTTCTTTCATATGATTGTGTGACTATATTTTCTTGTCCTCCTCTGCTTTCTTTTCTACTCTATCAACCCTCTTTCATTTTTGTATACGGTCAATCATTCTTCCTCCATCTCTCTGTCAAATGTTCGCTCCCTCTGCTGCAGCGGTTTGTACCCATCAATCAAAAACCATGGCAACGGCTGAATCTCACTAGCTTATCATTGTAGAGTTTGACGTAAATTGATAGTGGCTGGAACAAAATGGAGGGGGGGGGGACAAATCGATAATTAAAAGGAAAACTAGAAAGGGTAAAGAAGGGAAGAGGCTGACATTTTTAATTCAGGAAAAATTGGAAGCGGAGTGAGTAATAGATAGCCAGGTTGTCGCCAGTTGTCGGTGATTTAATTACCAGCAGCATTTAAATTCTAACATCTAAATCTAAATTCTTAACACATATTTTTGTAGTTACATTTATTTAATTACATTTCTATGCACCTACTGTGCTGTTATCTTCTTCTGGCTTTGCATATAGGCCTGACCGGTCTACTCTGCCTTTAGCGCTCCACTCTTTTTACTCCTGTAATCGGATCCACAAAAAAAAATTGGTGGGCACACGACACGACTCACACTTCCATAATTTCTACATACTTTGATTTGTCCATTAGCAGAAGCGACAAAACAAATGTGTTCCCATATTAGGACCCAAAACATTTTGGATAGCTACTGTTACAACTCAAACTAAAAGTAAGTAACACAACTACATGTAGCCTCTCTTTGAGACTTTGCTCGATGAGAGTAATTAGCCATGTGACACAGCCAGCAATAGCAGGACAGGTAATAGCCGGTAATTAGCCAGCTGAGTGGCGCCTACCCAAGACTCCGTGCTTATGTCTCTCCAATTGCCACTTATTGCTCAGAGGATGGGGCTCCTTCAAATAGAGAAAGATGTATACCTGGTATGTCTTTGAAATGGGAGTCTATGGGCACCATTCCTCTTCCCATCGTCTCCCTCTCCCGGCCTCTGTCTTTCCCCGTTGCAGTCGGACCGCGACCGTTCTTCTGCCGGTTCCTTTGGGTCTCCAAGGCCTTCATCTTGCGAGCATGTTTGTGACCTTTGTAGTGGGCCTCCGCCTGGATCTGACCACGACGCATGCACACACACACACACACACACACACACACACACACAAAGAGAACAAACCGAGAAGAAAGTCAGCGTAGAATGTACGGACAGATCACCGACGTGATTAAATTAATGAAGGACAGCATGAAATCAGCAAACTGTAATCTTTCCATCTGTTTCGTCTCTCTGGCTCCGCATGCTTCCATGGAGTTAGGGATAAAATGATGAGATTGAGCATTTGACTTGGAGGGAGAGTCACATTGCCATTTGGATCATCATCGCCGTCACGGTTGTGCACAAATGTGCATCAGTTGGGCTCATGGCATCTCATGACCCTCCTTTAAGCTCACTGGCTCCTCTTTCCACTGATTCGTTGTGACACAAAATGGCCTGTGTGTATCTCCTGCAACACAAAATGCCCCTCGCACCTTCCTCTGTGGCGAGAGAACACTTTTGGGGAAGTGCCCAAAATGGCTCTGAATGGGTGTAGATGAAGCATGAGCCAGCAAGTGCATATGCATCACGATTGAAACAAACCAACTGAAGCAAGAAACGTATAAGGGTAATAGATACATACATTGATAGGGTTTGTTTTTTTATTTATATGCGCAATGTGTTATACAGCAGCTTGGCTTAATATTCAATAACATTTTCTATGATATCTGAGCCATCTTGAGCCAAATGAGCAAACTCCATCTGCTGATAATGACCTGAAGCCCTGAAAGAAGCTGGTGCCTGAACCTCGGGTTATTTATCTTATTCGTCATTTCCTTTAATTGACAACATGTCCTTTGATTAAATAGACCCATTTGTTTTTTAATACTAAATAAAAAGTTGAACTGTCTTCTATTGAAAATAGGCATTGTTCAAAGCAAACGTTTGTAACTGTCGCTGTAGGAATAGTATACGTGTTACTACTACCGTTAAAGATGGCTCTGTACTATTCAAGTGCATGTGCAGGACTAAAAAACTAAAGCATGCAGAATTAGATGTCAGACCATCCTCTGTAAACAACCCCCCCCCCTACAAACTACTGGGGGGCACAGGATAGGAATAAAAGAGCTTGATAACCATACACAAACAACAACATATATAAAACCCCACAACCTTTAAGAGCACACATTCTCTCTTTGCCACACTAGTGTATTTCTGTATATGAAGGACCAAAGTGCACAACTAAATCAACAAAGAGTTCTGAACAGTGCAAAAAGGCTTCGGGAATCAAGCTTCACACGAGGCGGCAAGATAATTTGTTACTTCTCAAATTATCCGGTTTCCAGGCACCGGCTGTACACAGCACCGCCTCCCAGCCGAGTGTGCAGAGGAGACCCTCTGCTGACTCGGTGGGCTACGAGTCAGCACTACGCATTGAGCTTGTGCTGCTAGGGGGGGGCAGGGCTGAGCAAAGGGTGAACGGCCCCTTTGGCTACGTTGAATGTCAGTGCACACTGATCATTCAGCGTGAAATTCAACTGAGTCAGAGGGAAGCGTCTGCCGCCTCTTCATACTACCACAGTGTAGTATGTGTTCACTATGTTCCACCATAGTAACTCAGAGGGACATTAATATGTAGAGTAAGATGTCCCAGGACGGCAAACATCCTCAGTTTGAGACACCTCAAGGAGACTGCTCGGCCTCCGCTGACCTCGATTCAAGCTGCTTTATGTATTCTCACACCACCCGAACTCTTCGTACACAGGGAGCAACAACTGTTGTCAACAAAGGGACAGCAGGATCAGAATATCATGGGTGATCCTCCGGGGCTTGAATCTTTCATGCTTTCTTTAAGTGAGTTCAACAACCTTAAAGGAATCATTTGAAAGTCTTCAGGTCCGTTCCTTTTCTGTGCACACAATGGGTCATGTAATATAACTAGACACCGTTTTCACAGCCATCCATCTTTGTCTTCATACTGATCAAAAAAATGTTGGTCCTCATTCAGTGCAACAAAGAACTGTATTGTTTAAGCAAAAAAAAAAGCTTTTCATAACTAAACATTGTATGTTATGTCCTTGATTACCATTATTAGTTTTTACACCTCTACTATATATGGTATATAGTTTGGTGGTGGATGTAGACACTGCGACGTGACCGCTTTGTATTGAAGAATACTTGGAACTAGCAACTGAGGCCACTAACCCATGATTACAATGTTTAATGAGATGATACATCTCATGGGCTTCCATGCAATCAGACTTCTTTATGCAAAACGGACCAGTCGCCCCCTGCTCGCCATTAAAAAGAGCCCTGGTTTCAGGTCAGAATTGGCTTCACTTTTAAGTGCTGGATGTCGCCGCCAGGTCCATACTGAAATATCATGATGGCCATAAATTGTCATGGATTTTGGTACAGACATTCATAGCTTCTGGAAAGTGAATTCTTTTTGGTACTAATAGTCAGAAATAAGTCTTCGTAGCAGTGAAAATATCATCTATGTTTTAAAATAACTATTCAATTTGAGCATGACCGCCTACTAAAAAATAAACCTTGAAAGAACGAATGAAAAAGAATGACTGTGAAAAGGAAAACTTCTAGCATTTACTACACAAGCAGTACGTATTAAATATGAAAAGACTTTCAAACATTCAGAGCGATTCCTTTAGTCAAACTTCTTTGTCGAGTGCCATTTGCACCTGCTGTGTGCAGCCCCCCTGCTGGGACCTGGTACCTGCCTGCAACCCTGCATCCAACTCCTGGGTAAAGCAGCACTCTCATCTCAGCTGCAGGTGACAGAGGGCAGGAGGAGGGAGCTTGTTAGCTAGAAAACTCCTCGCAGCGTCACTGTTTGTCCACAAGTACAGAGCAGAGAGAGAAAGACACAGGCGAGGAAGTGAGGGCGGCTTTGTGTGCTGAGTTTGTGTCCTGCTTTCTTCAGGTTTTTCCCTAAAGAGGAGTCATTGTCATTCAACTGGGTTCCACCTAACAATATAAATGCAAATATTTATAGGAGTGGGAGGCAAAAGAATATGAATGGGAAGGTGGGATGAGGAGGAAGAAAGCGACAGGACCAGCTTCCTGGTTTTCTTTCAATATATACTGATTGGAAGGACAAGAATATGATTTTAGACAATTAAGATTAGAATCCAATGTGTTGCAAATATGTGTACTTTTAACAGCAAACATGAAGAGAGACAGTAATGTTAGATAGTGTTGATTGAACACTTACAGCGGTATTTTTCTACCTTCCTGCTGTGCAATGAAATGAAATCCAGTCCCGTCTTTGTGCTTTTTTTAAAATTTCATTTTACCAGACGAAAGCTCTAAAGAAGCTCAAGACAAGAAACTTTCTCCCCTGTGGGATCAATGAAAAAGATTCAACAACTCACAGTGGAGTTGAAGCGCAGGTGACAGATGTTACAGGAAATGACGGGTTTCTTCTTGGGCGATGGAGCCACGCCAAAGGTGTGGTTGATCACGGCCTTCTGCACTGGGTCCATCTGAGAACACAAATGCACATTCGACGTGGTATTAAATATAGGGATTTGTGCAATATTATTAGGGAAAAATAAAAAAAATGAAAAATAGTCTCTCCTTCGGTTTGGGGCTAGAATCCCTCCAGCCTCATGCGTGCTTACGAGAAATGAGTGGTCTCACCGTGCTAAAATTGGGGAAGAGGCTGAGCGGCGAGGAGCCGTTGATCCTGAGCGGCAGGAAGTGCTCCAGCTGGGCGTGAGTCCGTGGCGGGAAGGGCCGACCCGGCAGAGCCAGGGAGCCCAGGAGCGGGTGGACCTGGCTCTGGGAGAGGGTACCTACAAGCAGGGACGATCGCATCATTGTGACAACTGTTTTCCCGCTTCATTCTGTCAAGGTTTTCTATCGGGAAAACCTCGTTTACTGAAAAGGGCGAAGACACGGCGAGTGAGATCAAGACCCGTTGGAATGATTAACTCAGTGAGGCTTTAATGACTTCCGCAACAGCGCCGGATAAATGATGGGAGGTGTTGTGTGGCCTTTTCCTGACGTGCGAGTTCATCGTTTATCTTGACAAATGTCCCTGGCCTTTGAACACAGCACTAGAGGGTGTAATTGTGTCGTTTTGTTCTTCTTCGGATTTCGGTCAGTCAGCATTAAGAGATAATAATTACAGAGAAGTTTCACTGGCCGATAGACTGATTCACTGTACAGTTGTTGTCTTTTTACTTGCTCAACCATACCGTTACTGTCACTTATTTCTTTTATCATTAACCCTCATGAAGCGATCGTTTCGACGGATCCCACAGTGATTTGAATCATCACATTATGCCTTCAAGTCTCCTTTCACGTGACCGCCCGTCCCGCGTAATCGCCCGAGGGCTTTCAGACACCTCGTGCTTTAAAGAGCAGCGCAGCACTGACCTTTGTCTAGACCCAAAGTAAACATTGGTGGGCTCACACTGCACTGTCTCGCGTGTAAGCTGGAAGTTGGGACGTTGTGAAGGGTCATGTGTAAATCTCATTTAAAATGAATATACGCAAGCAAGTGGCTCTGGAGTCAGTTTGTGTTTGTATGTTGTATTTAAAAATAAATAGGTTAGGGCAGTTCCTTGTGATATTGATTTGATATTGAAATGGTATATCAATATCGAAGCAATTTTTGTTTCTTTTTCAAAGATTCAGGGATTGAAGGTCTGGTTTATTGAGTACAAGGAAGGATGTTTTCTCCCTTGAAGTGTTAAAACACCAGATGATGACAGGAGGAAGAGGAGAGAAGACTCACTAACTTTAGATTTAGGAATTTAGGTGATTTAGGCGAGGAGATATTTGAAGAGGGTTTGCGGCATTAAACGGCAAAACATAATAATATGTATTGTTTTTTCCTGGAATAAGTAAATACAGCCAGTCTTTAAGTACAAGTCAAACTGTGTTATTCCAAAGTGGCAACGTGACAGTATTTCCCCCAATTTCCTGCTCCTTTCACCTCTGGATTTAAGGTTTTATCTCTGGGGATGAGGCCGGTTTGAAAGTCCTTGAGCATTAGCATATTTTTACTAATCTGGTGCCATATTGAAAATGGGTTTAAAGGCTGAGCAGAGAAGAGAGACGGGACAGAGGAAGAGGAAAGGGATAAGAAAAACATTTGCAGAATTGAAACATGCTTAACGAAATGTTACGAGCTCTACCATAATACATAATGAGACACGTGATTTCAGCATTCGTATAAAAGGAGTTTAGGGATTGAAAATATTGCGTTTTTCTGTGTAGGTGAGTTGGTTTTAGGCAATAACGCAGTGAGAGTAACACACCAATGAATTTCCTGTGTTATCTTTGCCTGCAGCTACAAATGCCTCAGGGTGCTTTTGTTCTGCCAGTCAATATAGCAAAAGTACCAGAATTTGTAAATCTGAAGTTATCCAAACAGACGCCTTTATATATTGAATTTAAATACGTCCATGTTCACCATCCCTATGTAGTTTGTTTGCTTGTTAACGTTTGCTGATTAGCACCAAACACAAAGTACAGCTAATATATTGGACGCATCAAAATGAAAATGAGACATTCTGGGTTCCAAAAGTAAAAGTTACCAGATTCATGAGGATTGGTTCTGCACACATTTTGTATTCTATCTATTCAATAGGAGTTGATATATTTCTCTCTAGATCGAAGCTGTTAAACGACGGACCAACTGTCAATGCCATACTCTGCCCATCACCGCCATCTAAATAAAATGTTGACTTTCAGGGAAAAGAATCACTAAATTGGGTGAAAGACAAAGACTAAAATACTTCTAATCTCCCTCAGATGGTCAACAGACCGACCGACTGAATACGTCCATGCCAATGAGGGATTAACCACAGAGCGCCTCACAATCTGCAAGCACAGAGACGCTACATTTAATAAACTAAAGCTGACCGGTCTGGAACCCTGAATAGCAAACATGCAAACACAAAGACTGGTGCATTTCTATCTCATTCAAAGCCGTGAATACAAATTGGCAGTTTTATCAGTAGACAGATGCAACCAAAAAAAACAGCCTGAATCGCCACAGTGAGAATGAAAGAGAATCATCATTGAACCGCTGAGTTGTTACAATATTAATCCTGAACAAATATACATTCGATTAGTTGTTGTCTCGTCTTTTCTTAGGCGCGATTAATTCTGTTTATTCAGTGGTTTACAGGCGCTCAAGCATGCCGTGTACTCTTTCGATTAAAATGTTAGAATGATTACAGCTGATTGTGACTGTTTGTTTCGTCCTGCGTGTGTAATGTGCACAGCGGATCCCAGAGGAAAACATAGACACACAGAGAAAACGCACATGAGTTGACACGTTTTGACTGATTTGATTTTGTTTGTTTTTTGACAAATTCTAGTTCCACCGGGACGGTGCATGTACCACTGAAGCCAGTAAAGTGCGTTGAATTGCGTGACACAGAATGAGGAGCAGAGAAATGAGAGAAAGTGAAAGAGAGACACAACCACAGGCAGATGAGGATGTTCTTCCTTCTTTCCTCCGCCTTGCCGATGTGCTTAATCTGCCTGTCAGTACGACTTTTTGGGGACATTGATTCCCTTTCCTACGCAAATCTGAAATTGATCTCATTAATCTCCCTCGCACATATTCACTAAACACAGCAGGGCTAAACGTTTAATTAACTGCATTTGTTGAGTTGAGCAAACTAGAAACTGGCATGATCTGTGGGAATTTCATCGTGGGGGACAAAAGGGAAGCGGTGCTGAGGCGATGGTTCCCTTTCAACTTATCCATCTCGTTTGCACCCAGAAAGGTTCACTGGGCTTTGATGGACTAAAGCTGTGGTTGTGTTAGTTTCATCCGAACGTCCTTTGAACGTGTTAAGCTTCATGTAACCCATTGACCTTTGTTCATTATCAACTGTTAGAAAGTCAAATAAATACAGAAGTAAATACATTATAAATGCACTTTTTGACTACGTATGTGATGTTAAACGAAGTAGGATTTGGTGGAAAAATTTGCATTTTTACTAGTTGATGACCCATGGACAAGAAATATAATCATATAATATACACACATTGATTGATGCACCATCTCACGTAAAAATCCCAAAGTAGAGTCCAGTAAAGAGCAGAACAGAGCTGCTAATTAACCCTAAACTAAACTGCAGGTGAGCTAGTTAGCGGGATATGCTAAAGGCTGCCTGGTAGGGACAAACTGTTTAATTCATTACACTTTTTCCTCTGCCAGAGGTGTAGGCAAAAGTCGGTAGAGAAGTGCTCGTGTCACTTTTGATTTTCCCTATTCTTTCGCTCAACAATAAAAGTAATTCCACACTTTATAAAAGGATCCAGTTCCTGCTTGCTAATCTGAATTCACTTCCTTTTCCTATGCAGGAAGATATGTTGTTCGTGGAAGCTGTGCGTGTAGGTCACAGCAGCCAACCGTCACGTATTGAGACGGGATAAAAGATTATGAGCTGGAGAAATTATAGCACTTTGAAAAAGAAAAAAAAGAGAAAAACTGGGGGAAAAGCTTAATCTCTATTATTTCCAGGATTAGTCTCTGGGTGACTCAACATCACAGCAATCACAGAGGGAAGGAAATGGCATCTTTTCATGAAGGATAGAAAAAGGGGGGTGGGTGGGGCGGTTGGGGGGGGGCGACGCTTTCATAGCGGCAAATCAGAGCGAAAGCATCAGAGGGAAGGCAGCGCCGGCTCCTTTCATGGTAAATGCATTTCCCGGGATCATCAGTCTCAGCCAGGCTTCAGTCTGAACCAACATGCCGGTTCAGAGGCAGGCTCTCGTCTCCGATGCCAACCAGCAGCATCCCCCCTACCCTGATGAGCACCCCCACCCTCTCCCGTTTGCTGCTTTGTGACATTAACAACTGAATAACTTCACACACACACACACACACACACACACACACACACACACACAAACACACACACACACACACACACACACACACACGTTTTGCTATAATATCACCAATACAATATGTTTAATGAATTGTGCAGCTGTGGGATCTATTCCACTGGAGCGACCAGAGGCATTATGGTACGAGCTCAATATAGAGGAACAAAAACTGCAGATGGAAAACTAGAGGATGCAGATCATTTTTCACATTTTTGGAGGTGATTCATAAGATGTTTGGTTTAGACGGACTTGACACTGATACTATATTGTATTTTGATACTGCTTCTACAGTGTATTATGTCTAACTTATCCAAGGATTGGGGTGAGTTAAGCGAAGGAATTACTTTAAAATAACAAATAAATAATAAGTCATTATACTAAGCCAAATATTTTTTTTAATTTGTGACAAAAAGCTTTGGTTATAGTGGAATTTGTTTTATTTCTAAGGCTTTCAGCTCATGATGCATTAGGTGTTGAATTAATACTGAGTTCACATTACAAATACATATTGATCATAAATAAACCCTTTGACTTCCGAGACCTTTTTCTGTTACTAACACTCTAATTAACGAATACTAATAACTACTATAACTACAATAACACTTAAAATTGATAACTTAATGTAATTAATATATGCACAAAAATATACAGTTATGATGACTGTATTTAAAATGAGCTGTTTTTAAGGGAGATAATTGCATTAAGTCACTGCTGCACGGCGCATTATGTTGTTGCAGATCACATCACTGTATCTTTAAATAACAGTAATCTTTCTATTGCAGAATAGCACTCGGTCATAAAAAAAAAGAAACAGTTTAATCCAATAGGCAGGATTAAGCACTGAGGAACATGAAACTGAAATGCTAAAAAGTGTGACTGCTTGTGACAGGGCTTTGCTGTAAAGCCTGCACAACACATTCCAAAATGATGAAGA